TCGATTCGTCGCAGACAATCCAGGTAAAAAACACAATTCTGCATTATCACTCTAAGATTTCAAACTCTAGCATCAATTCAACTCCGATTTTAAATTAAATGATTCCGTTTTCTTTTGCATAAATAGGTGTATGGCTAATGCATTGCCACCTGGATGTCCACATCACCTGGGGTCTTGCCACGGCTTTCTTGGTAGAGAATGGAGTTGGAGAATTGCAATCCATTGAGTCCCCTCCAGAAGATCTGCCTCTATGCTGAGATCAGAAATAAAAAGGTGTCCCTGTTGGTTGGAATTCATAAGCCCGACAATAATATATGGTTCCGTTAGCTGTAGTGTCTTAGTTTCGTTTTCCCCTGCATTACCTTTTGATGAAAGATGTAATTTAATGTTCTCTCTGTTTCTTAATCCCATAAACATGAGGGATGTAATTCAAAATTTACTTAATTTGAGGAATATTCAATTTGAGGCAAAAATCTAAATTATGATTGCAAGAAGTTCCCTTGGAACCATAATTATTAAACCTGAGAGTTGACCCTTCTATTAAATTGGATTTTGTGTCAACTTGAGTTGATATAAAAAAATTAAAAAAATATTAAATTTTTAATATTTTATATAAAAATTAAAAAATAATTTACGTGAATATAAATTATATATGTTACAAATAACAAAATTTAAAATATTATTTTAAATTTTTTTTTTATCTTATAATAAAAAAATATTTTTATATTTTTTTAAGTTAAAATATTTAAATCAAAATTTTTTTTATTCTATATTAAAAAAATATAACTTTTTTTCTTGTAAAAATAAAATATATATACTAAAGAATTTCAAATTTTATATTAAAAAAATAAAATATTATTCTAGTATTTTTATAATTAACTTTAAAATTAGTTAATAAGTAATTAAAAATATGAAAAAAATAAAGTGATTTTTGGTTAAGAAAAAAATAAAATTTAAAAAATAAAAATTTAAACTGATTTTTAAATGAAATAGACCTGCCCAAACTCACATGTAAAACCCGGCCATATCCGATAACTATGCTCCAAACTATTTTAATGCTTTCATCCAATCCATGTACATGAATTCCATTTATTGGCATTGGCCCGCACCTATTCACCATACCTGCCTCCTTCAACTCATTCCGTAGCATAAAATAGCCGCTGAATTATATGCTCAAATGGCACGCTCAGCTATCTCATTGAAACAAGTTGTCCTATTATGAGTTAAGAGAAAATAAATTAATTTTACAATGCATAGGTAATTATTACTTAGTCTCTGCAGTTTAAAGAGACTAATAATTTAATCCCTGATGTTTTAATTTCTAAGCAATAAATTTACCCCGGCATTCATTGCTCTCTTAGAGATCCCAATTGGGAATATGAAATTGACTCATTGCTCTCTTAAGAACTAGAGATCCCAATTGGGAATATGAAATTGAAGTTGGAGGAAGGGGACTCAATCGCGGGTGCGTCGTTGCATTGAAAGGAAATTTAAAAGGAGTTAAAAAACAGGATTATAGTTATCCCTTCATTGTAATGATATTCTTAACGATGCGGAAAACAACATATCAGTTGCTGTGGTGTAGTGGTTATCACGTTAGTCTTACACACTAAAGGTCCCCAGTTCGATCCTGGGCAGCAACATTTAGGTTTTTATCTTTATTCTCAGACAGGAAGTTTAGTTAACCCACGAAACTGAAGCTCGTTGAGATTGGCTACGAAGTTTATCGTGGGCACAGGAAAATTTCGGGATCCTCCTTGCTTTTTTGAAGTTTATCGTCGCGTAATAAGAAAGTGACGTCAGTCTTTGGTTATTGATAATGAAATGTCAGTTGCTGAATACGACAACAATATTGCTGAGCAGAAGCCATTTGTGAACCTTCGTATAAGTGGGATTGATTCACTGATTTTGCTTCATCACTCTTTCTGTTAGCATTGCGGCTTGTTCGTTAATATGCACAGGGATTATGCTTCATACAGCAACATGCCAACAACTTTAGCTTTCCCAATAGGAATGCCGTCAAAACTTTCTCTTAAGAAATAATATGGATCCGTGTTGTGTTAGCATGTTTAGTGATGATCTGTTTCCCATAACCTTACAAGCAGGCCATCAATTATGTGATCATTTCTGAAGCATCATATATAACCACTGGTAGTTAAGGCCTCAGGGAGAGTGTATTTGACGCATTCCTGAGGCCTTCCCAGGCTCTTGTGCTCTGCCATAGGTTCTTTGCAGCTTGTTCGGCCTACAGAATGGTTTCACGCGGTAGTGTTTTTATTCTGCGAGTTTAACCACACCATTCACAACTACCATGGAATTTGAAAAGCCAAGAAAGCAGGGTCGACCAACAAGCTAATAATGTATCAATTATAACAGGAAAAACAAAAGTGATGAAAGATAAAGCACCAGAAAAACTTTTGACAAGGGAGCTCTCTGTTTTTCAATCATATCCTCATTTACGAGACTATTAATTGAGAATCTATTCTTAAGAAGTCAATAACAAACATTACCAAACTGTGGCCTTTTCTCTTCCAATCTTGTTCACCTATCAAGATCCTTAACCATCCTTGTCTCTCTCTAGATATGCTTCCATTCGAAGAGATCAGACTGTTTCAATCATGGGAATTTGAGATTTAAATACCTCATAAACAGCTTGTCCGGAATAATTCTATAATGAAATTTATTTCAGCTATTGAATTTTATTTTTTTTTGGAATAAGTTTTAGGATTGTGGGAATCATTTGAAGCAGTTATTCCTCATTTTTTACTCTTAAAATCATCGAAGAGAACGCGGAAATAGATAAATAAACTCCAAAGGAAGTAGTCCTTTTGACAGCATAACGGGAAATAAAAAAAAAAATTGTTGTTTTTTATTGGCAATTTAAATTAAAAAATAAATTACTTTGGATGATGACAAATTATTAGCTAAAAATAACAGCTAAAATCAAATGACATTTAATTCGAAACGCAACCCGTGATGATATCAATATACCACATCAATTCAATATGCAAGCAATCATATTACAGAGTTGTATGCCTTTTTGTTTACCTATTTTAAGCATCTCCGACCTAATTATACATAGTTGAGAAATTTGTCGTTGGACCAAACAAATAATTAATTGTATACCTCGCACAACAATGGAAAATAACTCTACACTCAACTTACAAAAAGACTTTCAATATAGGGGTTGGGTGGTCCATGTTTAACATATGATCAAAGACTCCGTGGTCTAGAAATCTAGAAAGTGGCATGGCGTACACAAGTTCTTCTAATTATCACCTTAAATTAATTGCCAGGAGTAGCTCTACTTCTTTAGCTTTTATGTTTGCTTTTCAAGTACGAGTTTTTTTTAAATTTATTAAAAACTTATATAATTATTTTTTTTTAAATTTATTAAGATACCTACAAAGCTCAACTGAATGTTTACATTAATAAAAAAATAAAAACATCACGTTGACTTTTGATCCAGCCATCCTCGGATTTGTCCTTCGGCAAGCTGGAGGAACTGCATCGTGCTGATTAATCCTGGACGTCTTCATTTTTTTTTTTCTGGGCCAAAGAAATCGGTATATATCCTCGAAATCTAAAACTGGTAAGTCGTTGCCATTGGTACAGTTACCAGCTAACAAGATCACTTAGATTCACAGTAACATTTGATGAGAATAAATTACCTCTAATAGTGCACGGCTTATCCCTTAATAAGGAATCAAAATATGTGGTAGCATTGTTCATGCCCGTGTCAATATTTAACCCTGAACTCTTCAGGTTAGTCAAGGTTTTTTTTTTAATTAAAAATTAATTTTTTAAAATAAATTTTAAAAAAGTAATTTTTTTTAATATTTGATAATATAATAAAAAATAAATTGAAAAATATTTTCTAGTGTTTAATTATGAAATAAAAAATTAGTTGAAAAATAACTTGTTAATATTTTATTTTTTAAAGTTTATTAAATTAATAAGAAATAAATCTTATAAATTAAAAAGTTGAATAAAAATTAAATTAAAAAATATATAATTTCATAAATTAAAAGAAAAAAAAATTAAAACAATAATAATAATTATCATTTTATAAATTAATACAAATAAAACAAGTAACAATTAAAAGAATGACAACCAAGTTTGATAGTTAAAAAATTTTAATTAAAAAATAATAAGAAAAAAGTGAATAAAAATTATAAAAATAAAAATAAAAATTAATATAAATATCAAATTTTAAAAAATAAAACTAAAAAAAAATATTTAAAATAAAAAATATATATTTGGAGGCCGAAGCCAGTACCCTTGCCTTTAAACGAGTTTGACCTGCGTTTCTTCTGGTGCTGGACGCTTATATATGTTGAAGCTTTATACATCGAAGAGACGAAAGAAAAAAAAATTAAAACAATGATAATAATTATCATTTTATAAATTAATTTAAATAAAATAAGTAATAATCAAAAGAATGGGAATCGAGTTTGATAGATAAAAAATTTTAATTAAAAAATAATAAGAAAAAAATAAAGATAAATTATAAAAATAAAGATAAAAAATAATATAAATTTTAAATTTTAAAAAATAAAACTGAAAAAAATATTTAAAATAAAAAAATATATATTTGGAGGCCCAAGCCAGTACCCTTGCCTTTAAACGAGTTTGACCTGCCTGCAGGGTTTCTTCTGGTGCTGGACGCTTATAGATGTTGAAGCTTTATACATCGAAGAGACGTACCGGAATTGCAATAAAAAATAGCACCCCATTTCCTTTTAACAGAAAACAGATAAATGGAAGGGACTAAGTCACAATCCCTTCTTTTTTCCTTACAAAAAAATTAAATTATCAATGATGGTGATTTGTTGAAATTCAACTAGAAATTTAGCGAAAAGACTTGTGAAACAAGCATTTGAGAAATTATTCAATCTCGATATGCCAGTGGGTGCAACAACTCTTGTAGGATTGAAGTAAGTTTTGCCTTAGAAATCTGACCACTTCCTAAATCAAAACCTAATCTGCCAACCTCAAACAACTCGTTATGCTTCACACCCATCCTATAAAAGGATTTCCTTAACTCCCTAATTTCATCACCACTTATCTTAATCAATCACCACTCAAGGAAAGGCTTGGTGTCTTAAACAAAAAAGAAGAAAATGGAGGTTATCAACCGTATCTTTGCCAGTCGCCATTGTTCTTTCTTCTTGCTCCTGCTGCTTCTGGCCTCAGCAATGTCATTAGCTGTTGCAAAAACCCACCACCATGATTTTATTGTATGTCTAAATAACTCCTTTCTCCTTGCTTGTGTTTGTGTGTGTGTGTAATCTATAAATTATCCCCCTTCCTCTTTCTCCTGACATTAATTTGATATATTTTAAACAGGTTCAAGCAACAAAAGTGAAGAGGCTATGCAAAACCCACAACAGCATCACAGTAAACGGAATGTTCCCGGGGCCAACCTTGGAAGTGAAGAACGGAGACACTGTAGTTGTAAAAGTTGTGAACAAAGCCCGATATAATGTTACCATTCACTGGTAATTAATAGCATTAGTGTCTTTCAACTTTTCCAGACTGTTCATATATATATATATATTCCATGACAAATCATTATACGGAGCGTGTGGCATTTTTTTGTGCAGGCACGGTATTAGGCAAATGAGAACGGGCTGGGCAGATGGGCCAGAATATGTAACACAATGCCCAATTAGACCAGGTAGAAGTTACACTTACAGGTTTACTATTGAAGGACAAGAAGGAACACTTTGGTGGCATGCTCATAGCTCCTGGCTTAGAGCCACTGTTTATGGTGCTCTAATCATCCATCCAAGAGAAGGATCATCGTATCCATTCTCTAAGCCAAATCGTGAAACACCCATACTCCTTGGTAATTAGTTATCCATCATTAACTTCCTCGCAAAGCATTGTTAATTACTGAATCTATGAATTTCGAGAAAGTAATCAAATAAACATTCGTTTGTTACAATTGTTGATTCTAACGAACCATGGTGTTCAGGTGAATGGTGGGATACGAACCCTATTGACGTGGTGAGGGAGGCAACTAGAACCGGAGCGGCTCCTAATATATCTGATGCTTATACCATTAACGGTCAACCTGGTGATCTTTATAACTGCTCCAGCAAAGGTAAATTAACCACTATGTATTTGCTAAATTCTCACAAGCAGTGCTGTAGTAAATAAACAATGTAGGACCTGCTGAACTACATCAGAAGAGCCCTGTGAGAATAGTTTATTTGAAGCCTAAAAGGGCCCTCTTTTAATTTGAGTTGCTAATCCACAGTCATCTTTTTCCAAAAAAAAAATATTCTAGCTTTATGAAAATATTGTAAATTATAACGATCTAAGAATTCTTTGTGGGCTTAGTGGGGTGTAGCCCAATGGCTTTTTATGGAGACGAAGACCATTTCCAAGACTTCCAACTAAAATAACTGATATTTGATTAGTGCACGGAAGCTTCATCCCATCAGTATTTCGTAGATGATGATCTCATGGACCTGATATTGTTGCAGATACTACCATCGTTCCGATCGACTCTGGTGAGACAAACCTCCTTCGAGTCATCAATGCTGCACTCAATCAACCACTTTTCTTCACCATAGCCAACCACAAGTTTACAGTTGTTGGTGCTGATGCCTCCTATGTCAAGCCCTTTACCACCTCGGTCATCATGTTAGGACCTGGCCAAACCACAGATGTTTTGATTTCTGGCGACCAACTACCTGGCCGATATTACATGGCAGCCCGAGCTTATCAAAGTGCACAAAATGCACCATTTGACAATACTACAACCACTGCCATTCTTGAATACAAATCTGTTCTTTGCCCTGCGAAGTGCACAAAGAAACCATTTATGCCACCACTTCCAGCTTACAACGACACGGCTACAGTCACAGCCTTCAGTAGAAGCTTTAGAAGTCCTCGAAAAGTTGATGTCCCGACCGATATTGATGAGAACCTCTTCTTCACAATCGGACTAGGACTCAACAATTGTCCTAAAAACTTTAGAGCCAGGCGGTGTCAAGGACCCAACGGCACTCGTTTCACTGCTAGTATGAACAACGTGTCCTTTGTGTTTCCTTCAAAAGCCTCGTTACTGCAAGCATATAAGCAAAAAATTCCTGGAGTTTTCACCACCGATTTTCCAGCAAATCCACAAGTAAAATTTGACTACACTGGCAATGTCAGTCGTTCCCTCTTTCAACCTCTTCCTGGAACTAAGCTGTACAAGTTGAAGTACGGATCAAGGGTGCAGGTTGTGCTACAGGACACGAGCATTGTCACACCAGAAAACCATCCGATCCATCTCCATGGATACGACTTCTACGTCATCGCTGAAGGATTTGGGAATTTCAATCACAAAACTGATAAATCCAAATTCAACCTTGTTGATCCACCAATGAGGAATACAGTCGCAGTACCTGTGAATGGATGGGCGGTTATTAGATTTGTTGCTGACAACCCAGGTAATTTAAAGTTGATCTAAAGTTGATCCATGATCTGCTTCAATTTGAACATTAAGCTCATTAACATTTTTTTGTGATAATTAAACAGGTGTGTGGATAATGCACTGTCACCTGGATGTTCACATCACATGGGGTCTGGCCATGGCGTTTTTGGTAGAAGAGGGGATTGGGATTTTACAGAGTGTCGAACCTCCTCCAGCCGATCTGCCAATATGTTAATTAATATCAATACATAAAAGAAGATTTTACCATTGTTGACACTCATAGAAGCCAACAGCTATAGGATTTTCTTTCACCTTTTTATCTGTTTCTTGCATTCAATTTCCCATGTTCTTCCCTGCATTTGGGGACATATTTCATTATTGTATTCTTCCTCTCTTGGCTTACAAGCCTTTGAAACAAGAGCTGCCATCTCATTTTAGTTATTGACCTGCTTTTTTATTGATTTTCCAGAGCTGTTTTTGTTTCTCTTCGTTAATAATGCATTCAAACTTTTTGAAATCTCTGCTATATGTGCTTTGAAATGTTTAACGTTTCGAGCACTTCCGTAGTCAAATATGAATATAGAAATTGGGAAGGCAGCATAGTCACCAATTTTTTTCACCTCCTCGAAAGGCCAGCCCTTAATATTCAATCCCCTCAGCCCAAATCCAAACACAACCTCACAGGCCGAAAGGTGAAAAATATGTTTTTCCTAAATGGCTAAATATGCATTTTGTGTTTGAAAATATGGTTTATTAAAAATCATCAATTTTAAAATCAATCTAAATAACATTTGAGACTTATTAAAAATCAGCAATCTGGTAAGGCAAGCACGTCGCTGATGCATCGAGCTCCTGAGACTCGATCCAATCCACCATATCTCTTCATTAAATTGTTCTTCCGGGGCCTCTGCCAACCATTACATGTTATAATTAGTCTCACTTGGAATCACATCCATATTTTTATGTTGTAATTAGCCTCCACTCACTGCACTATTTGGACTATGAAGAGTTTAAGGGTGTAGTAGTAATTATGGTTAAAAGTATTTTATAATAAAAAATATATTGAAATAATATTTTATTTTATTTTTAAAAAATTATTTTTAACATCCTCATATTAAAACAATCTAAAAATATAAAAAAAAATTACTTAAAAAAATATATAATTCCAATCATATCTCCTAATAAACCATTTTAGTTCTAAACATAACAGTTACAAGTGCGGAGACTTCACGGTCATTAGGACCGACCAAAAAGAATATCTATGCATTGGAAGAGAAATGCCTTGCCGTGCTCATTTGATAATGAAATCCTCATATTGCAAGTTGCTGGTGCTTCTGGCTTGGCAATAAATCGCCTGATGAATTGTTTTTAATGTGATGAACTCCATTTCTCTCGAAGGGAGCAACGATGAGAAGATTACCTATGTGCTCATAATCTTATATGGAAAACCATGCTGAAATGGCGAGTGGCTGCAAGACCTCTACAGTTCTTTGAATAATTCTCAAAGGCACGCACCGTTCGATCTGATCTACGAGACATGCGTGTTTATGTATGTGTTAAATGAACATATTTTTTATGCCTAAGCTCAATGGAGGTAAATAAAATTAATGATTTGGATTCTAGCGTTGTTTTTTAAAATATTTTAAGATAATATTTTTTTATTTTTTAAAATTTATTTTTGATATCAACACATTAAAATAGTTTTAAAATATTAAAAAATAATTATAATTTAAAATAAATAAATATAATTTAAAAATATAATTATACATAATACTAAACAGGTCATAATTATCTTACAAAAACTCATTATCGTTTCAAAATAAATGCCATTGTGCGATGATGAGAAACATGGAAGGAGGAAACAACGGATGGTTCATTTATAAAAAAAATAATAAAATAGATTGGATTATTTTGTAACTTTTTACGAGTTGGTCATTTAGTATTTTTTATTTGAATATCATAAATTAGTCGTTTTTATTAAAGTTAATTGCTAGCTTAGTGATAGGGTTACTGAACAACCTTAAACTGACGTGGTTATTGAATACCTCTGTAACCAATGATTGTCCAGCAATGTAGAATGTCAAGAACCACTGAACCTATAAAACACGTTTTTTTTAATGATTTTTAAAGATTATCAGATAATTAAGTCAAATTCAAGACTAGCGGGAAGAACTTGTAAGCATGTATGTCCTGTTACAGAGAAAATGTTAGGATTCTGAAAACAAAGATGAAACTCTTTATAAAGAACGTTTATCTATTTTAACCTCGGAGTTCAGCTAATTTATATACCTTGAATTCACATGAGTGTATTAATGCAGTGGTAATATAATTTATTCTCTTGTTATTTGTAATTTTAAACTACTTTAAGATAAAGGCTAATGTGACAGAAAAAAATTATATTTGTTACTATTGATATTGATAATGATTATTTAAATTAATCCCTGCAGCTGTACTTTTCTAAGATAAAGGCTCTATATATACATCTTATCTTATTCGCTGACATTGAATTTAATAAATTTGACTAAATGGGAATGTAATTTATTTCAATTATGTACAAAACAAAGATTTTTGTTTTGTTAATATTTAATTTTTTTATCTTTTTAAATTGATATTAAAAATATTTTAAATGATAAAAAATACTACAACATAAACATGTCCTTATCCAAGATTTTGAATGGAAGAAAAATCTCTTCTTGTTTGAAAGTGTCAGCATACTGGACATCAGGATGATTTTTATATAATATTAGAAAATATGGTTATATCTGTATTTTTTAAATATTAATTTTTTATTAAAAATAATTATATATATATATATATTATATCATTTTAATATATTAATATTAAAAATAATTTTTAAAAATAAAAAAAATTATTTTAGTATATTTTAATTAAAAATACTTTAACAAATAATTACACCTATATTTTTAAAAGTCACTTCCAAGGACGACGTGCTTTGGACTGATCGGGTCTTGAGGCTTCCAAAATTCTAAGCGGATGACGTTTGCTGTTAGGGGGCTCGTGTTCGGGAAGGCTGGTCTGAGCCATGTGTACCGAGATAAATTTTGAGTTCCGTCATGATTTTGGGCCTACGTCTATCCTAAGCCCAGCTATGAATGAATAAATATGGACCGAGTACGGAGCACGGAATCACTAGGGGGTTGGAATCTGCCTCGGCTCCCGCGCAATAAAAATCGTCACTTCTCGGAAAAACGTCGTTATAAAGATCGTCACCTCCTTGTTAAAAAACGTGGATGCTTTGCCAATTCAAGCGATCCGTCGCTATTCAATGGGTTCTTTTCTTTTGAATGTCGTCAATGATGACATTATAGGTGACACTTCACCCACCCACGGGACAAGATTGCTTTCACGTTATTTTGAAACGCGGTGACATACATAGATAAGGAAAATATTTTTAAAAAAAATAATTTTTTTTATTTTTTACTTAAAAATAATATATTTTTTATATTTTAAAAAATTATTATTATCTCACTCTTAACCACTCTAACACCATAATAGGAATACCTTTGTTACATTACGGTACACGTTTTCCTCTCTGACTAGCCATCAAAGTAATATTATACTAGTAACTAAAAAACGTTGACACTCGATTTAATTGCATTTTAAATTTATTTATATAAACAGTAAATTATATTAGTATAGGTTTTTAATTATTTTAAATCAACCTCGTGTCTTAGCTAGAGTTGTTAGTGTGTGTTGCATTTCAGAGATCACAGATTTAACTTCTATGAAGCACAATATTTAAAATAAACTCAAATTGATTAACATGTTTTTCTAATTATTTTATATTAACCTTGTGTATTAACTCAAGTGATTATAGCATACTTTGTACACTAGAGCAATGTTTGTTTTAAAACAAACACAAGCAGTGTTTTTTTTTTTTCAGAAACAAAGAGTGGAAAAAAATAAAAACCTAAGTGCATGTTTAAGTTTTTTCAACGGTCTTCTGGGTTTTTTTTTAAAAAAAAAAAAAATTGGCCAATTGGGTTTATCGATCCCTTTTTTTTATCTTTTGGGTTTTAATTTTTTTATTCCATGTGTTTTGTTTTTATTGGGTTTTCTAGAATTTTTTTTTATAATTTATAATTTTTTTCTAATACAAAGTTTATTTTTATTTTATTTTTTAATATCAAGTTATTGGTAAATTTTATTTTTTTATGTTGTAATAAAAGATTTTTTTGCTCTTTTTTTATCTTTTGTTTTTTATTTCAATTTCATTCTATCAGTTTTTTCAATTCATTAGTTTTTTTCATTTATTTTTTTAATTTTATTATTTAATATAAAATTTTTATTTAATTTTATTTTTTAATATTATATCCATTAATGTTTTTTGAACCGAACTCCTACGTTAAAAGTTCGACAATTTAGTTATTTTTATTTTACATTCATTATTTTTTTTATTAAAATCACAGCAAAAATGCTATCAATAAACTAGCACTAACTCGAATTTGGATTATTGACCTTTGAGGTGAAAAAAATAAGTATTTTTATATATTAATATATTTTTAAAAAAATTAATCAAACAACACAAGTAAAAGAAAATTGGGGTGATCATCACGGTGCATGTCCTAATAAAAAATGAAACATTTCAAATAAATTGTTAAATAGGCTAAACACAAATTGCAATCAAGAGAGGGGGGGGGGGGGAGAAGAAATTCAAATACATATTGAACTTTTAATGACAGCCGCACTTATACTGTTGAAAAGATACTAACAAAACAAATTCAATGCAGCTCGCCAACTAGAATTGAAGTGAGTCATATACCTTTTTAGATGTCGATTCATATTAAAGAGATTTTTTTGACATCCTTGTGATGTTATTTCATAGTGTTTTCAAGGCAATTTCTTCCCTTTTCTTTTATTTATTCCCTGAGAAATATTCTCATCATTGTTTGTTTCGATTCATTTAATAATTTCTTTGGAGTGGCATGTTTTTCACCAACAACATCCATGTTGTTTCCCCAGATTTTTTAAAATTGTTTTATTTTACTATTTTTTTAAAAAAAGCAATGCTATTTTTCAATAAAATAAAAAACTATGCAGCTATAAGCTCTCTTTTTTCATGTCCTTTATAATATGATAATCTCACGACACAATCTTAAACGTCCATGATAATATTACAGTAACCGTTTCGTATTTGATCCTGCAATGTTGAGCTGAAACCCAGGCTTGTGTTCTCGTGTTTCTCGGTGTTTTTATTCTTATTTTTTTACGAGGGGTCCTTTTTATCTTTCCTTTTTTCACTAGTCTAAATCACATCTACCGAAGATCGCACTTGTAAAATAGAGTCAATTTCAGTCCATAGCAGACACGAGCTTCTCCATGTGAAGTCTCTGCTACGCAAACATAGCATTCTCATGAATGTCTACTACGCAAACATAGCATTCTCATGAATGTTTACTTAACGGATTAATATTTGATTTTGATAGATGAAAAATGTTTATTTTTTCAATATTTAGTGATCATTATTACCCTGCTATTCTAAAACAATTAGAAAAAAATCACCCGGCTCAAATCATATTAGAACAATTTATAAATATTTTAATTTTAAATATAGATATCACAATAAGTGGAGTTAAAATGTTTTTTTATTAATTTTTTTTTGTTGGTCAAGTGGATTACTCTTAGACCAATCAAATCAATTGAGTTATGTTGGTCAAGTGGATTGCTCTTAGACCAATCAAATCAATTGAGTTATATTTATACCAACTCCATATAATTTAATTTCAAACGTGGATTAGATGAGGAATTAGATTAGGAATATTTTTTTTAATTTTCATTACTTTTTTAACCCTTGATTGGGTTGCTAATTAATCAATCAAATTAATCTGATCACTTTAATATAATTTTTATTTTGTTTAATTTTAAATCTCAACCAGCTAAAGAGTTAGGCAATGAATTTTCAAATTAACTCATTTGATAGGTTAATAACAATGTTTATTAATTCTCTATTATCTAAATATTTTTTTATTATGTTAAAAAAATTACATTGCGCAACACAAACCTATAAATTAATAATAATATATGCATTTCAAGAAGAACATTTGCATAATTCTAAATAATATACATTTTTTATTCTGAAACCATATTTATTAGAAAAATTAGTTACTTATTTTGGCATGCTGAATCTACGAACAAATTAAATTACCTTCAAAAGATCAAACAGAACAAATTATCTCTATTAAAATACTGTTTGAAAACCAATGGCAATTAAAATGAAACAAAAAGACGGAATAAACAAGTTCAAATGGCATAATGGAAATTTTAAGGAAGCACCAGGGAGAGACTAGTCAGAAAGAGGTCTAAAGAGGGGAATTCCTTTGGTGCCGTGTAGAGACGAGAGCCTCTGTAGGTTCGAGAAGGTTCGCGTTCCCCGGTGCCACTAGGTTCGAATACAGAGAGCCACCAATGTAAAATCGACACGTCATCTATCAAAAATCTAATTTACAAAAGTATCCAGATAAAGTCTATAAATATCTCGGTGAGCTCGAGTTTCTATAGATCTCTCGATTATTAATCAATTAAAAGCCGTGCGTCGCCTCTCTGTTTCTTTTAAAACCTCATTTTCTCGTTCTCCACAGCGAAGAAAAAAGAAAAGAAAAGAAAGAAACGCGCTGAAAAGAAAAGGAGGTCATCGTACGACAACAATTCCACAAGAGAATTAGAAGTCAAGGAAATTTAAGATTCGTGTCTGGTCTCGAAGATTTTGATTTCTTGAAGCGAATTTCTTCGCTATTTGTTGACAGGTTAGTTGGTTAATCTCAGCCTAAGGTTTATATATATACTCAGCTTCTTTTTTGTTTCTAGGGTTTGATTGATTGAATTGGGGACCTGGGCTTTGTTTAATTGGTGATAATCTCTGGTTTCTTGGTGGTTGATAGGTAAATTTCGCTTTCCGGGTCAGGGTTTCAGAATTTGGAGTTATTATAATTGGAAGAAATTCTGGGTATCAAAATCCAATTGGATTGTGAGCTATTACAAAGCTTGTTTGGTGTTTGTGTTGTGGTAAATTCTTGTTCTAGAAATTGGATCTTCTTTGTTAAGGATTTGTGGGCCTGTTTGGTTACAGTGGAAATCTTCTTACTGTCTGGGTTATTTATATACTTGGTGGTCAAGACAATTCTCTCCGTGCTGCTTAATAATACTTACTCTTTTAAGGGCTTTAATTGATAGAGGCTTATTCCCTGCTAGTCAAGGAAAAATCTCCTTCTCGGAATAGAAAAACTTAAAATAGGACAAAATAGAGAAAACTCTACGAACAAGTAAATTTGTTGGCCTGAGAGGATGAGAATTAGCTGGTTCTCTATGTACACATATATCGAACATTAGCTGTAGTGGAGTCGCTCTTTGGAGATTTTGAGATTTGTTATTATATTGTGTTTCTCCTGTTCAAGTTTGTGGCAGTGGTGCTTAATTTTACTTTTCTATCTACTGCAGATTCTGAAACTCTTGTAGTTTTCCAGTACTGGGATCATAATTATTGGGTCCTGAGATCGAGAATATGGGTACTCTTATTCAAGGTTCTAACGCCACTTCCATGTCCATGGATTCTAGCAAGAAGAGGAAAAGGGCAAGTAATAAATCTGTAGCTGAGACCCTTCAAAAGTGGAAGGAATACAATGAGTATCTTGATGCTCAAGGTGATGAAGGTAACAAACCAGTTCGTAAAGTTCCTGCCAAGGGCTCAAAGAAGGGGTGCATGAAAGGTAAAGGAGGGCCAGAGAATTCAGTCTGCAATTACAGAGGTGTGAGACAGAGGACATGGGGGAAGTGGGTTGCTGAGATTCGGGAGCCAGACAGAGGGCCTAGGCTATGGCTTGGTACTTTTCCTACTGCCTATGAAGCTGCTCTTGCCTATGATAATGCTGCACGAACTATGTATGGTCCTCGTGCTCGTTTAAACATTCCAGATGTGGTGAATTCAACAAGCTCATCGAAGGATAACTTCTCTGCTGTGACACCATCATATTATTATTCAGCTGCAAGTCCTGCTGACTCCGTCACCACATCAACCCACTCTGAGGTTTGTGCGTACGAGGATCCTAACCAGAATGTATTAAGCCATGCTGAGGATTGGATGACAAATATATCAAGCCAAGCTGAGGTTTGCGAGCAGAATGCATCAAGCCAAACTGAGGTTTACGAGCAGAATGTATCAAGCCAGCATGTCGAGGATTGTTCTCGGGGAGTTGAAAAAAATAGCAAGCTGAGTCAAGATGAGCTGAAGATTCAACCAGAAAATCCTTCGTGGGCCAATGACTGTCACGACTACGGCTGGGATGAGATCTTTAGCGTAGAAGAGCTGCTAGGGGATATCGATTCTGGGATGACAGGAGCAGAGGGGTACTTCAGCTTAGGATTTTGACAGTTTTGTAGCGTTTTCTCGAGTAAAATAGTGTTTGTATTTCTAGGCTGATTGAAGGCTCGTAAATTATAATGTAAACTGGTTTTTTAGTCCCTTGGTTTGCATTTTGCAAACTAGAAGCCAAACTTGAAAAGCAATTGTTAATTGTCAAACTGATGCTAGTGAACTAAGCTAGAGATCTCGTCATTCATTTAGGGGGTATTTAATTTTTTTTTGTACTGTGTTTACGGGTCTTTCGGACTTTCTATTTGCTGATCTCATCTATTTGTAGTAATTAATTCAGTTACTTATTTAAACGCATAGCAAGCTAATCATTCTTACAGACATTTTACTACACTATTTTTTTTTTTACTTGAAATTATATTTTTTATTTAATGTTTTCATATGTTAATTTAAAAAAATAAAAAATATTATTATAATATATCTTTAAATAAAAAATATTTTTAAAAATAACTGAGATTATCCATTATGATACTATACGTGTTATCTAAACAACATGGAAGCTAAGGTGGAAGTCCGCGTTCGATAGAAAAAAATTACTGGCTTCTATCTTTTTCCTTCGATGCAATGCGCCTGTCTGTCACTGAAATTGTCTGGAGTAAATCAGTCAAAGGGAACAAAAGCTCAAATTCACGAGACGGAAGAAAAGCAGTTCGAATCAACGGATAATTTATTCCCAGTGCCTTAGATGAGACGAATCACCACCGCTCAAAACCCATTTATTTCCCTGGATGAGACGAATCTCGCAGACCGTGTGCTTACTAACACCACCGCTCAAAACCCATTTATTTCCCTTCCTTATAATTTAAAAATAATAATGCAAAACCTTTTTTTTTCCCATTGATCATAGATTGTATGGGCTTATCTACGAATTCAGGTCAATAATAGATTATGGGCCTGGGCATCTTATGTAGATCTTGATATAATTAAAGCCCGGTCCCGTTGTGAGTGACCAGAGCGCGCGTTTTATTAGCTCGAAGTTTAAAGCTTATTTGGACTGTTGTTATAATTATTTTTTACATAATTTTTTATATTAAAATATTTTTTTATATTTTAAAAATCATGTTTAATATTAACCTATTAAAATTATTAAAAGTTAAAAATATATTAAATTAAATAAAAAATAAAAAATATATATATATAATTTAATTTACATTCAATTTAATATTAAAGAATAAAATTTAAAAAAAAACTTTACTAAGTTTTATTTCCAACATATTTAATAAAGTCAACTGAGTTTTTTTTCAATTTTTTAATTTAGATTAGTTTAGATTTCAAGTCAATTTTATCCCAAATCAATATGTAAGGTTTGTCTAAATTTTTAAATAATGAGTCAAATTAATCTAATTAGGTTGTATATATTAAAAAAATTATATTTTCTTGAACAACTTTATTACTTCCTAGCTAGTGATTTCCATATTATTATTTTTTTAAAAAAAGGCTCGATGGCATAGTGTTCCACATTTATCAAATACACACAACTTGTCTCTTTATAATTGTGATAAAAAAAAAAAATTAACCTCAATATTTTATCAACTTCTTGCAATCAAAAGGAAAACTCATAAAATAAAAGAAGGAAATCAATTAATTATTTTCTTGAAAGCAAGAAATTTACAAGAAATTAGGACCACCTAAAACTAAAATGAAGATGGACAATCAGCTCCTATTGCTAACATTACAATAAGGAAAGTTGTTACTTAGGAAGTAAATTGAGGATAATTAGGCCATATTTAAAAAAAAAAAAAAAAAAAAAAAGGAAAAAAA